TTGATAATGGTGAAAGTGATATTAATAAATTGAATTATAAAAGAAACAAAATTTAGACTGTTCTGGCATTTGTTTCTATAAGACAAAATTGCAAAATATACGAAAAAAAAATATTTTCTTTCATAGCCGATCAACTCTTTCGAGGTGTGGGTATATTGCCAGAAAAACAACCCGCCTTCTTACAGAGGGCCCCTTCGCTCTCCACCCCATTAAGCAACCCTATTCCACTCTGCTCCCAACACCTCTCTCCTTTGTATCTCCCCACTCAGAGAAATAGCTAATGAAAAGTGACTCAACACCCGTTTGTTTTTGCGCTATACCGACTTATATGGTCTTGAAAAAGGTTTACTTTTTAAACAAGGAAAATATTTACTTGAGACGAATTCATTAAAAAATAAATAAAATTTATTATTTTTACATAGTCAAAAACAATTTTTTTTGGATTGAATGAATTTATATAATACACAAATAATAAAATAATTGCTTTAAATATTAAGTCTTTTTTCTTATAGCAAAAAAATTTTCAGTTAGATTGTATAAAGGCATTTTCTTGTGCCATAACTATCACTACAATTATTAAACATCAATTTAGTACTATACAAAACCTGCTCACCACTATCATTTAATTATCATTTCTTGACGAAGGCTGTCATTGTTTAAGAGTCTTACCCCATAATATTGACCCGGACGTGATATGATCGATTAACACGTTCACGCCGGGAAAAGTAAAAAAATACTGGTAGAAGAACTATTTCCAGAAAATTATTAGATAATATTCGGGAGGAGTTAATCAATTCTCAACAATAACAATTCACTGTAAGGAAATCTATCACGGCGAAGAAGCATTTCAATATAATAATTGCACCCGTTAAAAACAATTGGTAGTTATGGATTTTTATTATTCCCGGAAAAAAACTAAAAAATGGAATTTATTTGTTACCAGTTTTTACTCTGGTGCGCAGCCTAGATGAAACATTCTAGCGTGACCCACCGGTGGGTCACCCCGCCGTGAACGTGTTAATGGTCCACGTTGAACAGTTTATTNCTACGGGTAAGTTTCAAAGGAGGACGGGTACATTGATGGACAAGTCGTCCTCAGAGACGGGTAAAATTTCTTAGTTTTTTCGAGCCCTGGTCTTACCCCATATTATTGACCCGGACGTGATATGATCGATTAACACGTTCACGCCGGGAAAAGTAAAAAAATACTGGTCGAAGAATTATTTCCCGAATATTATTAGATAATATTCGGGAGGAGTTAATCAATTCACAACAATAACAATTCACTGTAAGGAAATCTATCACGGCGAAGAAGCATTTCAATATAATAATTGCACCCGTTAAAAACAATTGGTAGTTATGGATTTTTATTATTCCTGGAAAAAAACTAAAAAATGGAATTTATTTGTTACCAGTTTTTACTCTGGTGCGCCGCCTAGATGAAACATTCTAGCGTGACCCACCGGTGGATCACCCCGCCGTGAACGTGTTAATGGTCCACGTTGAACAGTTTATTTGCTAGTTGTGACTGCGTCATTGTCCTCCTCTCGCTTTTGCTTCTCTGTCTCATTTATACACAACGGGACTCGACTTATTCACTCGACTGCTAATAGCGACACAGAAGTGACCACACGCACAACCATGGACTTAATACAGCTTTCATGGCTAAAGCTCAAAAAACCCAGTAACCTTAATACAGCTCTCCCACAAATATAGCAATTAGTGGTATCCGTTCATCTATCCTTGATAAAACTCAGGTGGGGAAGTATTGCGGCGTTACTTCCACTTCGATTATTAAATAACTAGTATATAAGACATGTTAACTGGGTTCAATATGGAGGTACCTTTCGCTAGATGAAGGTTGACATTGTTTAATAGAAAAATTTACAATTTTTAAGTAAAAATAGAAATATATTTCCTTTAGGTAAATGATGAAATACGTCAAGTTTTCGATTAGCTAATGTTTTAAAGCATTTTAAAATAATGAGAAAAAAAAGTTAAGTTATCAATTTAAGACCACCTAACCTAATATAGATAAAATTTATTCAAATATGCATAATTATTTTACATTAATGCTGTACTTCAACAAACACTTAAATTTTAATACATGCAATTTTCTTAATTCTTGTAATAAATACATAAATTAAATGGAGAAAAATTAATTACATAAAATATAGACAAAAACACCCATAGTAAATACAGTAAATCTATGCACAAATAAAAATCATAAAACTAATACAAATAAAATATACACAAAATTAGCAAAAATGGAAAATGTATCTAAGATACCTACATGAATATATTAAAAACTGGAATAAATTATCGCTACAGGAAAAATTAAGGACATATTGCCTCTTATTTTCAAATATCTGTAATTTGAGTAAAGGAAAATTTCAAAACGCCTTCAGTTTAATCATCTATGTTTTTTTCTTTTCTTTTTCGTTAAAGTAATAGATATTTTTAATAAAGTTAACAATAGCACAACATTCGTTAGATAATACTTGAACATATTTTTACATATTTAATATTTTTCATATCCAATTAATTCTATTTTAAGTGTTGAAAAAAAAATCTACTTATACTCTATGAAATACTTAAGATTTGAGTGATAAAAAATTTTTATCTGCGAAAAAATAAACTTGAAATAACAGAGATCGTTTCAGCAATCAGTAGTTTTCTTTTTATTACAAAACCAGGCTTATATCTTTTTATGAATGTTTTTTAGCAACGAAATAATACTTATTCGGGTACATTTGAAATTTAAAAAATATCTTTAACTTAAATTATATAATTTCCAATCTACACCGCGTTCATTTTAATTCTTGGATTATAACTTAAGTAAGAGATATGAAGTAATTACTCACAATAATGATAAAAAAGTTTATCGAAACTGCAGCTAAACTAGTACATACGTACAAAAACCATACCCAAAAGCAAATATTTACGCGATAGAATAAATATATAAGAATTCCGAATGGTGAATAAATACTTATTCGAAGTAACTTAAAAATATTGTGTGGTATAACTCTCTCTCTCTCTTTTTTTTCTTCTTTTTTTGGGTGATTTTTCTTTCTGATGCAGATGGTACCAATTATAAAGCAAGCAGCTATTTCTTTTACTATCTGTTACCTATACATTGAACTGGTGCTCGCCAATGGGAGATTGAACTCGAGTTCTTCGCAATGATAGTTCAATGCCTTAACCACTGAGTCATCGCGCCTCTATTACTATTACAGTAGGGAACCGATTTTCCGGAACGATCGGGACCATCGCTATTCCGGATAACTGATTTTTCCGGTTTTCTGAATCGCTACAAAAAGCCGTTTTTTTTTTATTGTTGAACCCAACTAAAAAAAAAAATTTGTTTTGGAAATAATCTTAAACAGAAGAAAAAACGATGGAGTAATACACTAATGATTATTTCCAAAATGATGGTAAGGTAAACATCTTTCAAAAAAGAAAGAAAAGTCCTAAAATCTTATGTGGAAAAAAAAATTTTTTTTTAAAAATGGCGGGAAAATGTATCGAATTTCGTTCCGGTTTTTTGGTTTTCTGATTTTCGGATAAGGGGTTCTGTACTGTACTATGATCCGTTAATACTAAATTAGAGAAGAAAAAAAAATTATTGCGTAAAACTTGGCATAAATTCCAACCGAAATTTTTTTTTTGTACATTTCAGTCATTAACCCCTCATTTCTTTTTCTTCTTTTTAATATACTAGTATAATCAACTAGGATAGTCTCTTTAGACTTAACAGAATTCTCAAACGGTTCCAGGTTTTCTTAAGTAAAATTCGAACAGAAAGGAATATTGGGCGTAGCGTGAGGGGGACACATTTTGGTATATATATATACATATTCATAAAATTTTACTTAAACAGTTCTCTTGAAATAAAAAGTGTGCCCCCTCTCACCCTATGCCTATGATCAGAATCTAAATTACAATTAAAAATGATTTAGATTACGGATAATAAATAATTTATAGACGATTTTGGCACTTTAAAAATATTGCTCATTTTATCACAAATTGTGGAATTTTATTAGAATTTATCACAAATTTTGAATTTTATTAGAATTTATCACAAATTGTGAATTTTATTAAAATTACCGTTCAATAGAAAACAATTATGCAGTTAACTGAATTTTGTACGATGGGTAATTAATACAAGCATTTTATTTTGATTATGTTACATACAAGTATTTTATTTTGATTATGTTACATAAAACCATTTTATTTCGATTATGTTACAAATGTTTTTAATGTATAGGGCATGGAATTAAACAAATATTTCTTTGAATTGCTATTAAGCTATGAACAACAAGGCTAGATCTGCAAATGAGGGGAGTTAAGCACAGAACTGTCAACAACTCTGTGGTTACTTAAAACTAAATTTACCCATGGTTTAATTACGAAGTGTTTTTAAATTATTTATAACACAAGTAAATTGCGATGTATTAGTAAAATTGAACTTATATTTATTTCAATATTTGTTAACTTATAACTGACTCTAATAAACAGCTCTTAAGGAAAAACACACAGAAAAAAAATAATAATAAATAAATAATAATAATAAATTGTGACATTTAGGGGTCTTAGGTTTGGGCCTCTTAGACCTTGTGATAAATCATGGACTAATGGCTACTCAGGGGTCCGATTTTTAAGAACGAAATTAAAGTACATTATTACTATAGTTCTCTATAATAATAAGAAAAAAAAAAGTTCTAATATTTGCAAAAACATTAATTATTTTTATTTTTCTCGTTTTTAACTGATGAATTTAAATCAATTGAAACATAAATATGGATTTTTTTTAGTACCTGCCCCTTCCCCATCCCCAACGATAGCCTTGAATTTCGTAAATATTTAGAAGAAGAAAATAAAACGAAGGCACGTGTGAAACGAAATTTGCCTGCAAACGCCAGTGAATCAATATACGCTATCTCTCTTCCTGCATGCAGTGACGTCATTTTCGGCCAATACCGTTGTCCGGCGCATTTAGTATTTAACCGCTCGTCTTTATTTACGTCGCATTAGAGCTGTACGATTGTCACTGATAAGTATTATGCTTTTTTATGGATAAAATATTGAATACGATGAGGCTTAAAGAACATTCATTTTATTTTTTCTCCTTAACAATTTTTTGTTAACTGTTAAATTTGTATATCTATTTTTATCACAAGTTTATTTTATTTTAATTCATATAAATAAATTTGTTATCTGCTTTTCTTCATTCATCTTAAAATCATTTAAAACTGCATTTTTTCAGAGGCATTGACGCAATTTAAGGAGTGATTTTTATCTTCGGATAATTATTCTTCATTTTGAAATGCATCTTTCGCTGCAAGGAGTGCTTCCGGATGAGTACCTTTACGTTTTTTCATCAAAATATTTTTTACTATTTTTTTTCTAATTATATTATGTTTCTATATATGTATGGTATAATTGATGTAAAAATATTGATTGGTAATATAAAACATTTTTTCAGCGTCATGATATCATAATAACGATATATTTATCTATACATATAGATTGAAATATCGTTATTATGATATCATGATGCTAAAAAAATACCGATTTTCCAATGCTTAATATTTTGGTCTAGTGTGCCATATTTAAGTTTTGACTAAAAACTAGTAATATTTTGAAATTTTCGTTTTTTTAAAAGTCATCTTTCTAGTGGATTTATTATTTTAACGATATCTTTTATTCAAAGTGATAAATAATATTAAATAAGCTCCTGATTTTTGGACCTAATATTTATTTTTTTATTACATATTTACTCTATTTTTGCTGCTATGCAATTTGTTCTTTTTTACAAAAGTAATTGAACTACTGATTTTGATATTTTTTTTTTTTTGATAAAATAAAGGAGTGTATCTGAAAGCAAATAAGTTTTGAAGTGTTTACGTGTTTGTCAAGTTTTATAGTCTAATGCGTTATTAGTGATTACATATTAGTGCATTGATTTTACTAAAAAATTGAAGCACTAATATGCAATTTGTATTTATTCTGGATTTAATAGTAGATAAGCTTTTTATAACTGCTATTTTTTGTGATATATCTTTTTTTATATTTTGATCATTTTTATTATATCTTTGAGTATCATGTCTTATAACTACTTCAATTTCATTCATTTTTTGGTTATTATTTTGCACGTCCATGCTGATTTTTACTATAAGTATAATTTCCCTGAATGATGATATTGTAATCATTGAGAAAACATAATCTCTTAGTAATTTTTAATCGCATTCTAGACTTGAGCATTTTGGTTACAGAATGTGTTCATTTGGTTTAATGCTATGCATATACTAAGAGTATAGTTATTAATATTTATGTATAGTTATGAGACTTATTATGTAAATTTCATAAAAGTTTTTATAGCAGTCTTGTTCATTTTATGTTTATTTATAGCTTTCGTGCTTATAATCCCGACCAAAGCTTTGCGACTGCATTATAATCCACTCCGAAATATTCATATTTTCTCAAACCTAAGGATCCTAAACCGGAGAATATGTCTGGTGAGTTGCATCAGTGAATTAATAACATTTTTATTTCTTCAGATTAGTAATATTTTTCTTACTTCTATGAGATGTTAATGTTTACTAGAGCAGTGATTATGAAACTTATGAAGCTTTTGAATTATGATACTGTTTTTAAATCCCTCTGTGAGCTACCAACAAAAAGAATTTCCAACTTTTTTTTTTAATTTTAAATATGGTTTGCTGCCTATTAACTTACATTTCTATTTAACATGAAATAAATGTTTGTTTATCTATATCAAACAAAAAAACAGGAACCTAAAGAAATTGAAGTGGTGTTAACAGGGTTTGTTGATTTAAATCAGCTTGATTTTATATATATTTATATTGACAGTACAGTACAGTCTAAACTGCACAATCGCTTAGGACTTGAGAAAGCTGGAAAACTTTTGTTTCTTTTTATACAGTTTAGCAACAAACAGCAAACTATTGTATTTATGTTATCTTTAATATTGAGTATATTAATTTCAAATCTCACAATGAAATTGCTTGTGTTATTAAATTAAATAACCTAGAATTAGAATTGTGCTGTGTTTTTTATCAATAAGTATTTTTTTCTCATAATATGTTTACAGTACCTTTGACATTATCCGATTTTTCTATAACGAAATTTTGTGGAAAAAAAATTCCAATAAGTACATAGATTTTTTAAATTTTTTTTAGCTTAACTTATCTATTTTGATATATGATTAAAAATGATTATTTTAATAAAAAAATATATAGATTAAATATTTTATTTTATTCATTTTTTTATTTATTTTTTTGATGAAAGACTACATTCATAAACACAATCTGTTATATTTATTATGTCATTTTAAAAATCAAGAGAGAAAAAAAGAAATCACAATTTTAAATTAAAATTATGGTTTGCTAATTGAAACTTAGTTTTAATAGTTTTGTATTCTTTAAATTCTTTGTTTCATCTTGTCTTTAAATTTCGAACATGCATTTGTTTCAAAATGGTTGCTATGCATTCAAAGCTATGTATTATAATGAAAAATTGTTCGGGTAGTTAGAGCTTCTAAAATACTGATTTAATATAGCTTTAATATTAATTTAATTTTGATTAAACATTTATAAAGTTTTTAATTATAAATCAAAGTTCTTACAGTGTATTTGAATAAATAAGAAAAATAATCCGGTTTAAATAAGATAAAAAATTAAAAAATTCACTAACCCTGGTACAGTAGAGCGCCGATTATACGAACTGCTCAGGACCGAACGTGGTTCGGATAATTGGAAAGTTGTTTAAAATCTAGTTTAAATTATTATTATTTATGCACTAACTCCCCTTCACACTTTTTCGAGGCGTAGAACTCTGGCATCTAAAATAGCTCTGCCGTGTTTAAAAGTTTTTTTTTCTTTTCAATTTTTAAATATTTTTTATTTATTTTTTTAACCCTTTTTTTCATTTTGAATTATTTTTTATCATATTTCAGCTTTTTATAATTTTTTTTTTTATCGATTACTGATTTTACGACATTTTTCATTGCAAAAGAAATCCAGCAAAGACTTTTGTTTCAAAGAAGATGATCTTTTTTGAGCAGTCATATCCCTTATTCTTTTTAAATAAATCAACTGAACTGGATCAACATCATTTTGACGTTTTAGCCAATTCATTGCAATATCTAATGAATTGCAAACTTCTATACGAGAAGGTCCACTGTCTTGAATTTGATCACCCACTTCTTCCTCTTCGTCTATGGAGTTCCGATTTTCATTCAAAATTTCAGCAACAATTTCCTCATCATTTAAAATTTAAAATCCTGGGTCGTTTACAGTGTCTCAACACCAGCCTTCTATTTCTTCTGCTGTATGACCTGACATCTTTTCATTGGGAAGATCTACTGGTTCAGAAACTTCAGTTTCGTTTATGTTTTTTGTTAAGAATTTTATTCCAAGATTTAATATTTCAAGCACTGTAATCATTGACCATGAGTGACAAGAAACCATCCTCCAATTGCAGAACTTCAGCACATATCTATTCATAAAATTGTTCCTCATTCCAACCATTGTAGACTGTCAAATTGAAGCTCGCATTCTTGGAAGATAATTTTTTAGTCGAAGAGGGCTAAAGGGGTTTGTAGGTTTAACTGTATAACAATACATGTATGTATTGGCTACTATAAGAAAACTGCTAAAAAAGATTGCAAATTAAATATGGTCTTCAGATGTAGTAGATATTATTCATTCTTCTAAATTTAGAAAAGTTGTCTATGAGTTAAAAAGTATTCTAAACTTAAACTTAAAAATAATTGAATTCGGATATGGTTCGGATAATTGGACGTTCGGATAATAAGGGTTGGGATAATAAGGGTTCGGATAATCGGCGCTCTACTGTAGTTAATAAATATATATATATTTTTTAAATTGGATTATTAATTTTATTGCAAAGGATGAAATTCTTTTTCTTTTTTTTTTTAAATCATCAGCATGTTTTCCGCAGGGGAGATATCAAAGTTACTTAACCGTAGTGTTGACACAATCGACCAAATATGTCTCCACAAGTTCAACGAGCTTGTTTATATCTCGGAAGATGAAAAAATTTAATTGTGACAAACTCCGTGAATTCTTCGTCTGCTGTATTAATAGTTTTAGTTGCACAGTGACATTTTTCTTGGAATATTTAGATAATTTGAGGTAGAAATCTTAAATATTCAAAATATACTCTCAGTATTAGACAAAGTTACAACTGTGGTGCTCGCAGTCTAGTCAAAAATGCCTAAAGAAAAGTCTGATGATTTTCAAGAATTGTAAGGATTGGGACAGTATGAAGATGGGTGAACTTTTTCAAAGAATGCTAATTATCTCTGTAACATTTATTAACAAACACATCTTTGAAACCTTACTTTGGAGTTAAGTTTATTACAAACTCCTGTCATAACTTGATGTATAGAATTAAGCTATTATACTTAATAGTAAATATTAAAATATCTTTATTCTTTCTTATTCATCGCCAGGCCAATCTGACCCAGAAAAGACCGTTCATTATTCATCACCTAATTATAGTCCTGGACCGAGGCCCAACAAAAATTCAAAGCCTGACAACAATCCTGGTATGTTACAAATTTTTTGATTTAAATCTTATTGCATTCATTAGTTCGTTTCGTAAATTTATTTAATTTCTCGCAGTTTAACTCTTGTTGTTTTTTTCAATAAATATATATTTTATTTTATATTGACCAATAGCTATGGTGAGTAATAATATATAGGGTCTCCTTATCCTTTGTCTTTTTTAGCGAGAAGCTCTTACTTTAAAACCTTTAAATTCGTGTATTTTCTGTTACAAAAACTTAGGGTGTTTTTGAGGTTTATTAGAAGTTGACATCAAAACCAACCTTAAAGGAATCAACCTCTCAAGGTTGATGAAGTTGTTTTATTCACACTTTCAGTAGTTTTGATGTTGATAAAAATCTGACTTAGAGCATACAGTTATTATTTTTTCGTATCATGTGATCTACAATACCCAGACTTCTTTGTTAGAAATGACACTGTAAGATGTAATCACAAGACCCGATGAAGTTGTATTAATATCTCAAAATATTTATTAAATTTAATGGGAATTCGGTTTCATAAAGATATCTTACTGCCCAGTATGGACTCATTTTATAAATAAAGATAGCATTTCTACTTATGATACTATATTCCTCGAAGTGCTTAATTTATTTTGTGAAGGAGATTATTTAATGTTCTCATCTGCTGGAAAGGCTAGTCTGCAATTAAAATATATTTCTTTTTAAGTTAAGTTTTAAGATTCCTTTAACTTTATTAAGCAATAATTTTAGATGTTTATATATATATATATATATAGTTAGAGATAAAAAACCTGGAAAAAATTGAAAAAGAGAAGTTCTTTTCTTTATTTTCTTCTAGAAAAGTTAACTTTCTTTTCTCTTTTCATTATTCTGTAATTTTTTCCATGTTTTCTCTACATTTTGAGCTTATTTTATGAGTTCTATATGCTTGCAGATTATGCACAGTAAATAAAAGTTATTAGTTTCTTAATTTTCTGCATTGTTCGTTTTATCCTTTTTGTATTTATTATGTATGCTGTGGTATATGTTGCTATATATGTACTGTATATGTAAACATAAATTTAAACTTTATTAGCTAGTTTTTCTATAATAAATATAAGAATTGATTNATATATATATAGTGAAATAGAGAAAACCTGAAAAAAATTGAAAAAGAGAAGTTATTTTCTTCTAGAGAAGTTAGCTTTCTTTTCTTTTTTCATTATTCTGTAATTTTTTCCATGTTTTCTCTACATTTTGAACTTATTTTATGAGTTCTATATACTTGCAGATTATGCACAGTAAATAAAAGTTATTAGTTTCTTAATTTTCTGCATTTTTCTCTTTATCCTTTTTGTATTTATTTAGTGTGCTATATATGTATGGTGTGGTATATGTTGCTATATGGTATATGTTGCTATATATGTATGGTATATGTAAACATAAATTTAAACTTTATTAGCTAGTTTTTCTATAATAAATATAAGAATTGATTAATATTCAAATTGAATAGTATTATGATCTCCTTCTGCACTTATAAATTAAATTCTCTTACTTTAATTTATTAAGTATGATTACAGAACTATTCAGTTCAGTTCGAATTTATTATATGGGATTTTAAAATTTATATAAATATTATTGTAAAATTATGTTTGATTATTTGAAAAAAGATTTTATGATATCTTAAAGAAAGATATTATTTTATTGTTGTTGTTGTTAATTTACGTCGCATTAGAGCTGCGCAATGGGCGCCAGCGATGCTTGACTTCGGTGATCTGCTGGGAACCGTGTCTTAACGATCAGACAATCTGATTTCCTTGTTGATATTTTGTTCAAGTTGTTGCTTGACACTTAGAATTTTTTGAGGAACTTCTTTTAAATTTGTCCTGCGGCACTTCCATAAACGCACTGTGGGGAGAAGCAAATAATTTGCTGCAACTAAATAATAAAAAATATTTACAATACAATAGAAATGTACTAGAATTAAAAAATAGAATTTTTTGTTAATTTATTGTTTCATTTGATATTAATTCAATGGGCAATTCATAATCATTCTCTTTAATTTTGATGGGAATTATGCATCAAAAATTACAGTTTTTCGTTATTATGAAACATTTAACAAACAAAAGAAAATATTTAAAAAAAAGTTAAAAATAGGTAGAATAATGCAGATCTTTTAGTTTTATTTTATAAAAATAGATGGCGCCACCAATAATAATTTTAAACTTAAAACCTATTCTTTTAACTTTAGTAATCCACAAGGTATAAATAAATTATTCATTCAGTTCGATAAACATTAATTTAATTCAATAAATATCAAGTTGAAAATATTGAGTTTTCATTTCATAGTGGGTATAAGAATTGAGCAAGGCAATTGAACTTCGATATCAATGTTATTCCATAAATTAGAGTGATATTAGCTTTAAAATTCATGCATGTGATAATCATAAATTTAACAAAAAAGAGCATTTCCCTTAAAAATTAAATACAAAATTTTCCTTAAAATAACTAAACAAGTTATTTACCAATACCAACAAGCAAATATTTCTCCTTGAGGTTTCGAAGTTCTAGAATTCCATTTCGTATTTGTAAGTTCCCCAAATTTATTTACCCACTTGTTGCAATCTTCTAAATTTAAAAGATTGCTTCTAAGGGTAATAATATTTGATGCAATAGCTTCTATTTCATTTTAAAATGAAGGAGGCAGTTTCGCAGGTGAAAAAACTGACATTTTAAGTTTGCAAAACAAAAGCTGGAGTACAGAAATTTCTCAATGCTGAAAATAAGAAGCATGGCAGAATAAAATCGTCACAGAAGGCGTCGCCGATAAAACCAATCAGCGCTCACAAAATCTCTTGGGGAAACTATAGTTGTAAACATAGTTTACATGCACCTCGGACAGCTATTGCGGGAATTCTCGATAAGACTCATGAAAATAGTACAAGGAGTTAATGAACACATCAAATCTGCCAACTCCGATTTTCTAAAATTCTGAAGATTTATTAGGAAGTTGCAGAATAAATTACACAATGCAGTAGTTAAGAATAAAATTTAAAAAAATCATGGCAAACATTATTTCACAACTTAATTATTTTATTTTAAAACAAAACACAATATAAATGTAAACTGTATTCAATTAGAAAAGCAATATATTCTTACTGTCATTGTTTAATCTAATCATATCGATAATCCTTTAGTAAAATACAAGTTAAGAACACATATTTGTAAATAATAATATAAATAAATGTTTATTTATTAATAATATGAGATGCCCTTTCGCAAAAAAGTGGCACTGGACCAAAAGTAATAAAATAGTTGATAATTTTTAGAAGTTTTAATTTAAGATCGAATTATATTTAATCTTATATAATATTAGCTCTAATATCCAAAGATGGGAAGTTAGCGTGCTGACATGAAACTAAGTTTTTATTTAATAATATTAACACTAAGAAATTTTAACAATTAAATTGGTAGTTATTGGATGCATTACAATAGTAATTGAGGATCATCAGTTTCTTCCATGTAAAGTTTAATCTGAAATATTATTAATATTGAGAGTGAGTCTTATGAAAAATATTATATTTTCGAATATTTCAGCTCCTGGTTATTATGATCCTACCCATAACAATCGACAAGATATGAAGCCAGGCTACACATTCGGACATAAGCGTTCACCTCCAAGAATTGATGCAACTCCCGGTATAGCTAAAGATTTATATCCTATTAAAAGCTGGTATTTTTTATCAACTCCGTGTTACACAAGCACTTTTCATTAAACAAAATTCTTAAATAACAATAATTTTGAGCCAAATTTGTTTATTCTCAAATTAACATTTATCATTTAAAAATTTATATTTTGCTGTATTTATTAGAATTTTTACCTAGCGCACCACGTATAAATGAGAATAATACTGTGACACCATGCTTTTATCATTCATGGATGACTCTGCCTATACGTAATATTTAGTTCTTCTAAAAAGCCTATACTCCGTTGCAAGTTAAGAAAAGACCATTGCGGTCTAGGACTTAAGTAATCATACTGCACTGCATTAATTCTGTTTTATTTCGTTAAAAAAATTATACAACTATGCGCAAAAACATTATAAAAGCTTTAAAATAAGCCACTTCAGATAATTTGTCCCATCTATTAATCATAGAATTACATATTATTTAAAGAGAAATAGGTTATAATTTCGTGTTTATACTGAAATCCTAAACTGCTCCTATAAAAGGTGGCACTTCTTATACTGACATGCTCTTAACAAATCAAGTGCGAGATAATAATTTTTTACTACTCAGCTTAACTCGACTATCATTTTACAACTAAAATAGATGATTACAATGACAAAAGGAAATCTTTAAATGTAATTTCGTGTGGTGCTAAGTTCCTAATATTACTTAATATAATAATTTCTTTATATGAATGCAGTTCTATGTATATAACTATTAATATATATATATATAAACACAAATAATAAAATAAAATATAATAATATAAAGAAAAACTATAAATGGGAATAACCAATAGTCTTCAAGACTCATCTATTGGTATAATTTAATGCAATATTTCTGAATAAAGAATAATTATCCTAGGATAAGAATTATTCTTTATATGTGTCAATATCGCCAAAAAATTATTGTTGAAAAAGAGCATGAAATAAAAGAAAGCAGTAACTTACCGGCGTGTAGCAAAATGCGGTTTAGGTTTTAAAGTAAAATAATTAAACAGTTAACAAAATTCGCAAAGAGGTAAAATCTTTAAAGTTGTGTTTATAGCTTGAATCGAATAAAATAAAATTTAAAAAATATATTTGGTCGAGAAAAAGAAAAAGTTTTTTAAGCAAGTAACATATTAGTGCTGCCATCTATGAAAAAAACTATTAAAAAAATATTCGGAAATTAATTTAATCAAACACAAAATAAGAAGAAAATGTAATTAAATTTATTACAATAAAAAAAATGGTAAACGTTGTAATTTAATTAACAGACTTAAAAAAAAGGTAAGAATCATTCATTCATTTCCATCCCATCATTCATAGGGTAACTCATTTAAAAGTCAGAGCTTGCACATATGGATAGAGGGTTGTTTATAGACTTTATCCTTCATTCATACATCCTTACATAATTTTAAAATCTACACCTATCACCTGGATTCATCTGGGGTGGTTGTTTATACACCAGAGCCCGTTCACTTCTTACAAAAAAATAGTAATAAATAATTAAAGTATTAAACTGTTTATTATACTGGACAGTTAAAATATTTGAAGTTATTTTAAGAGGCTACAAATTATTAAGAAATTACTTAAAAATGTATTTAACTAATCCAGTATAAAAGGTCATACATCCAAACTATTCCGTCCAGTGGCATATATATATTGTCAAGAATAAATAAAAATATTAAATTGTTAACTGATTTTGCATATTTAATAAATTATTCTATTATCAAAAAATATTCTGAGCTTTCAGATACTTTTGGATTGTGTGTGCAGAAACTTTGTTTTTTTTCTTATTATGATACTCACTAATATTCTCCCTGACTCGAATTAATCACTTACTAATATCACTTGTGTATCACTTTATGTCATTCACTTTTTAGAGTACTTTTAAAATCCATTAGTTGTGCACACTTTCACATCTCAATATTTTTGTTTTTAAATTTAATAATGTGTTTATAGCACCTGGATACTATGACCCTGATCAAGCCTTAAAGAAAGTGGAAAGTTCAAAGGCCAGTTACAGTTATTCATTTGGAGAGAAGCATCACATGATGGAAGACGCACCGGGTAATCAAAACGTCTAATGAAAGAACACAAAATATTACTACATGTTAGAATAGATGCATTTGTGTTACAGTACAATTATATTAGATTTACAGTATATTCAGGGATTGGACAAAATTATGGAAACATACTAACTCTATACTAGTTCTACTCTAACCATATACTAACTCAACTCTAACTCTATACTAACTCTCTGAAAATAACTTTCGTTTAGCAACAAATGTTTTGGACACTTTTACAAATCTCTTGGCTCAGTTTGAGAGATCATGCTTTCAGATTTTAGAAATGTTATCTTTTTACCCATGCAAAATTTGGATCAACCAAATTGAGGAAAGGAAGGTAATAACTTCTTCCAAACTTTTATATACCAAAACAATTTTGAAATTATGCTATAGGATTACGATATTTTCAAAGAATAATTGCCACATGATAAACAAAACAAAGTTTTTTAAAGTATTTCTAATCGCTCAAATTCAGGCTAGTGTGCTGACATGAAACTAAAATATTACTAAATAATATTAACACTATGAAATTTTAACAGTTAAATTAGTAATTATGAGATGAATTACAATGGTAATTGAGAATCGTCAGTTTATTAAATGCAAAGTTTAATTTGAAATATTGCTAATATTGACAGTGAGTCTTATGAAAAATATGTTTTCAAATATTTCAGCTGCTGGTTATTACGAAACAGATTCGGCCTATAAGGATCAGCAAGATATGAACCACCCAAGCTACACATTCGGACATAAACGTTCTCCTCCAAAAGTTGATGCAAACCCCGGTATAGCTACAGATTTATTACCTATTAAAAACTGATATTTCTTATCGCAACTAGTTACACAAGCACTTTTCCTTAAATTAAACGAAATTATTAAATAACAATCATTTTTGGCCAGATTTGTTTATTCTCAAATTAACATTTCTCATTTAAAAATTATTTTCTGCTGTAATTATTAAAAATTTGTACCTAGCAAACCAAGTATAAATGAGAATAATAGTGGGGAACCATGCTTATATCATGTTGATATGCATTTGAGCTGGGAGCTTAGCTTAGCATCAATTTGGTGCGCACTTATATACAAAGGGCTTTCTCAATTGAGATTTAAAATTTTTTTTTATTAACTTTCAACGCAGTATAGTTGTACATTTTTGCTGAAGAATTCATACACAGATTTAACCAATACAGTTTTGGGAATAGAGTAATCAGTAACTTGTAGAAATCAGCAACTAAAAAAAAAATTTCCAAAGTTAAATTGGGGTGCTTTTCTTTATGATCAGAATTTTTCTTGAGGTAGAAAAACTAGTATATTAGTGTATAATTCTTGCTCTAGTTAATTTGTTAAAATTTATTTTGCCCACCACTGCTTTTTTTTCTCTCCATTTTATTACCTGTCATATAAATCAGATTGTTGTAACCGGGAAGCAACCCACCAGAAGCTGCGGACAACCGCAGAGAAGGTGGATCCACCGCTGTGCATATATATTGCCATTGTTATTTCTTCTATATGAATGTTTGTGCCATCTTAATACTAGACTATGTGACTAGCCATGATTTTAGTACCTAGTCATCTATCATCATGTTTCACGCCATGTACTAGATCATGTATTATGTACCTAGTCATCTTATCTTTTTGAGTAATGTCATATCTAATAAATCAGTGAGAGCCAACTAGGGCTGGTTCTGGGTAACCAGAACAGTCTAGGTGCAGTTATCTCGTGAGAAATCTTTTCAAAAGTTGGTGCAATCATCCTTATTTGATAGCTTTTACTATTTATTTCTCTACCAATGTATTAAAACTTAAACAGAAAGCGGAGTTGTTAGTATCCCTGATAATTATACCCAAAATATTTTTGCACTGATACTCACTAATATTCTCCCCGACACAAAATAATCACTTACTAATGTCACTTGTGTATCACACTTTATGTCATTCCCGTTTTAAAATCCATTACTTATGCACACTTTCACATCTCAAAACTTTTACTTTTATGTTTAATAATGTGTTTATAGCGCCTGGATACTATGATCCCGATCAAGCTTTAAAGAATGTTGAAGGTTCAAAACCCAGATATTCATTTGCAGAGAAGCATCACATGATGGATGACACTCACTGTAATCAAAACGTCTAATGAAAGAANCCTAAAAAATAATTTTTTTTAGTTGGGTTTAACAATAAAAAAAATGGCTTTTTGTAGCGATTCAGAAAACCAGAAAAATCAGTTATCCGGAATAGTGATGGTCCCGATCGTTCCGGATAATCGGTTCCCTACTGTACTACATGTTAGAATAGAAGCTTTTGTTTTACATCACAATTATATTTACAGTATATTCAGGGGTTGAACAAAATTATGGAAACATACTAACTCTATGAAAACTCTACTGTAACTCTATACTAACTAGACTCTAAATCTATACTAACTCAATAAAAATAATTTTCGTTTAGCAGCAAATGTTTTGGAAGCTTTTACGTGGCAAATCTCTTGACTCAGTTTGAAAGATCATGCTTTAAGCTTTTAGAAATGGTTTCTTCGAAATTCGGATCAACCAAATTGAGGAGAGGACTTCTTTCAGACTTTATTACCAACAGATTTTGAAATCATGCTATAGGATTGCGATAATTAAAAGGATAATAGCCAATTTAATTTCTGGGCACTGAGTACCTATCCTGGGGGCTTTCTGCTCCTTTATAGAAATATAATCGAACTAAGGAAGTGGAGGGGGGGGGGAGAATATCACATTGGCTAATTTTATATGATAATAAAATACACTAATGAGTTATATAAAAAAAATTAAAAATTCGTGAAGTGGAAAAACTTATTTATATAAATATGGTATTCAAATATACTTCTTTAACTATAGTGGTATTTAAAATAGGAAAAGAGCTTTTAATTCCTTTACACTCATTTCAGTCTATGTAAATTTTGCATGGGTAAAAAGGACACCATTTCAGAAATCTTTAAACACGATCTTTTAAATTGTACCAGCTGTTACACCATATTAAATGTTCAAAAACATTTGCTGCTATGAGGAAGATTGTTCAAATAGAGTTAGTATCAAATTATTACCATATTTTTGTCCATTTTATTATCATGTTGTGTAGAACACAAGCACATTGAATTTTCTTAATAAATGCTTATAATTAACCATTTTGTCTCTTATTACTTTAATGTGGGCGAGTCAATCGAGGTATCTGCCTTTCGACACTTACCTCTTCATTTATGATATAGCTATAATCAACGATGGGGACTTATCGGTGATAAAAGTAATGGAAAATTACAGTCAATTATTTTTAAAATCTTAATGCATTCAGAATTTCTCAAACTCCCAGAAAGCATTTTATTACTTTCCTGGAAGTGCAATTTATTAAGTTATTTTTAGGAAAAAACGTTTACTTTCATTTTCATCTGAAACGGGGAGTTACGTGATTATTCGCGAACTGGCGTCACACGTGTCCATTCATTTACAATCGCTGTACTGTGAAAACCAATACTTTCTTGCTTTCATTGAATTTTCATAATTAAATCCAACTATTGTAGATAAGCAATAACTATTTGTGTAATAAATTATGCCCTAATGTAGCTGAATGAAAATGTGGGTTTTGACATAATGTATTTTTAAAACGTTACATTTTAATGGTACCCACTGAAACATTGTTAATATTTGACGAAATTTTCTAGTTCTGAATATTTAAGATTTTTTAATTCAGTAAAAAAGGTATTAAAATGAGTTATGTAGGGTGACCCGGGGTAATTCCTGATCAAAAAACGCAAACATCTATTTTGTGAAAAAACTATTCAAAATAGAATTTTAATATTTACTGGAAGTTTGGGGCTATATGAGATGAGTCCAATGCCACCTTCTTTTGTTTGAAAATCTAATTAGAACTTAAAAGATTTAAAATTTTTAGTCATCAGGAATTACCCCTGGTCTTGATCATTTCTGGGGTAATTCCTGATCACTTCTGGGGTAATTACTGATCACCAGTTTTTATTGTAAAGGGGCTGTTTAAAAATAATTATATAATGGTAATTAGCAAATAAGACATCAAGATCAAACAAATAAACCAATAAGATATGTTTAAGCGGCTAATAAAATGATCTATTTAAAAGCAAGAAGAACAATTAACACTTTAAATTTTCAAAAATCTTTGCATCGTGCCATACATTTTAGGCAATCAGCCAACTCATTCTCATGTTTTTCTGAAATATAAGAGAGTTACTTTTGCTGAATTTTTTAACTTCATTAAGGGGAAGTGTAAAGTTAAGTAAGGCATGTCAACAGCTCTCACACCGAAATTTTCATTTTCAATCATTAAAAGAAATTCACTAATTTTGTTTTCTAGAAGCTTATTATCCTTTTTAGGCTTATAATTTCTCATTATATTTATATTAGGCCAGTTTATAAACTTAAATTATTCTAACAATTCTACTAGGCTAATTTATAAGCTTAAAAATTATTCTAACGATGTACACACATAAAATTAAGATAGAAGCAAGGTAAGACAAACCAGAAATTGTGCAAATCAGAATACAGTCTTGTATACAGTTAAAAACAAATTTTGTGATGACAGTTGTCGGGGTGTGTGTTTGAAGGAAGGGACATGAGGTGTAGATCATCCGCTAACTGCTTGAGATAGATTTGATACATCACCTTTCTAAATCACACCGATGACTGGTAGCTTTTTTTTCTTTGAAAGAAAAACACAAATTCTCGTATATAAAAGAGTTCATCCATTTTTTATTTATTTTGGTTCTACGAACATGTTCATTTCCAGTATACAGCTCATCAATAAACAAGAGCCTAAATCCACCACGTGGAAGCTGGGCCCTCCCTGTGTGCTCCAGGGAGTAGATAGTAATTTAATTTAAGTCATTGAAATAATAATTGTTTTCTTGTAGAATTACATGATGCATCAAATAAATAATTAGAAGATAAGGTAGCAGAAACTTATAACGGTAAAAATCAAAGATTAAACTCTAGAGCACACAGGGGGNGGACACCATTTCAGAAATCTTTAAACACGATCTTTTAAATTGTACCAGCTGTTACACCATATTAAATGTTCAAAAACATTTGCTGCTATGAGGAAGATTGTTCAAATAGAGTTAGTATCAAATTATTACCATATTTTTGTCCATTTTATTATCATGTTGTGTAGAACACAAGCACATTGAATTTTCTTAATAAATGCTTATAATTAACCATTTTGTCTCTTATTACTTTAATGTGGGCGAGTCAATCGAGGTATCTGCCTTTCGACACTTACCTCTTCATTTATGATATAGCTATAATCAACGATGGGGACTTATCGGTGATAAAAGTAATGGAAAATTACAGTCAATTATTTTTAAAATCTTAATGCATTCAGAATTTCTCAAACTCCCAGAAAGCATTTTATTGCTTTCCTGGAAGTGCAATTTATTAAGTTATTTTTAGGAAAAATCGTTTACTTTCATTTTCATCTGAAACGGGGAGTTACGTGATTATTCGCGAACTGACGTCACACGTGTCCATTCATTTACAATCGCTGTACTGTGAAAACCAATACTTTCTTGCTTTCATTGAATTTTCATAATTAAATCCAACTATTTTAGATAAGCAATAACTATCTGTAAAATAAATTGTGCCCTAATGTAGCTGAATGAAAATGTGGGTTTTGACATAATGTATATTTAAAACGTTATATTTTAATGGAACCCACTGAAACATTGTTAATATTTGACAAAATTTTCTAGTTCTGAATATTTAAGATTTTTTAATTCAGTAAAAAAGGTATTAAAATGAGTTATGTATACCTGGTACTACTTATTAAAATGATTAATGTGTATTTTAATATATAATAATAATAAAAAGAAGACATAAACTACATTAGTAAATATTTACTTAAAAAGTCTTTTAACTCCTGTAAAAATGAATAAAAAAAGAAGAAAAATTTAATTGCATTATGGGAATTCTTGAATATTAACACATAGATTGAAACAATGATGAATTGATATTTTTCAATGGACTAGATTTATGAAAATACTGATTTGTTTTAATACAATACCGAATAATAAAATGATCCATCGTATATCTTAATTTTAACTATTTCTATCCAATCTACGACTGCTTTTAATTAAACAATTAGGCTTTTTAACTTAAAAATAAGTTGAATAAAATTTAATTTCCTATGAACTTTAACACCACTGATTTTAGCCGAAACGAAATGTTGATTCGCTGTGAAAAGCTGCATAATCATTTCTTCAGATATTTTAGTGATATATAAACAGAAGTTTTAAAATCTTTTTTTCATTTTGCACACATTTTCAAAACTGTACATTTAATTCACAAAATTTTTACTTATGATTTACAAAGGATGTTCATACGGTATAAGTGATATCAAACCTAAAAGAGCATTGAAATATCCTTAGTGGATGGAGGCGACACGTTTCCATTCAGCAATAGGACGTCATAACCAATGAGGGATCGATTTTGCTTGCATTGCTTTCTGAGGCTATTTTGGGAAATTTAAATGTTTAATAACTAAATAAACAAACAATAAGAAAAAACAAAAGGAAACAGATTTTTGGCTTCGACAGAGATTTTCCAATAAGTTAGGATTGGAAATAAAATAAAAAATTAAAAGGTAATGTAATTGTCCATTATAATTACAAAATATGATACATTATACATCAATATTTTTTTTAAAAATTAAATTTAATGATAAAGTAGTTATATGATTTCTTTATTGCTGAGGAAATTAATATGTATGTATTATACATTACTTTCACAACCAATAAAAGATTTAATGGACATTTTTCAAAAGGGATTTAATATGCATGAAGTTTTAAAAAATACCTTTTGTGATTATACTTATGTACACGTCAGAAAAAATTAGAATATCGCATTTGTCATCTAAGTACGTAGTGAAGACGCATTTATCAAAATGTGTACTTGCTTTCATTGCCATTTAACATTTCAAAATCACTCCTCTGAAATATTACCACAGAACTTGTAAAACTTACCTTACTTAAATCTAAATTTGCTTACGTCACTATGAGAAATTAAAGCTGAAAGTCTTTCTACTATTTAGCAAACCAACATATCGCTTAAGAGAACGCTAAGCACCATTTAATTAATCATCAGTATTACAAAGCGCTGTTATAA